AGGCAGAGATGGGGCTCCAGCCCGGGGAGCCCCGCGGCGCTGGGGGCGGGACACAGGCAGAAACCAGAGCAGCATCAGTTTATTGGCCTCATGACAGACGACACCTTGTCCTGCCAGCAAGGGACACCCTCAGTCGTGTGCCCTCCCCCCCCGCCACCCTGGGGACACCCCAAAAGAGAACAGCACCCCTCACGCCAGCCACCTCTGCCTCCCAGCCCCTCGGGACGCCCCGGCCCCCCGTCCTCTGCTCGGCAGGGGACGGGCGAGGCGGTGCTCACTTCAGCTGGCGCAGGAAGCCCAGCAGGGCCCGGTGGAAGTCCTCCGGCTTGTCCAGGTAGCAGGCATGGCCGGCGTCCGGCACCACGGCCACGCGGTGCCCGGGGAGGTGCCGGAGGCTCTGCAGGGCCTGGGGACCCAGGCTTGCGTCACGGTCACCGTACAGGATCAGGGTGGGCGTCTTGGTAAGGGGAGGGAGAAAAGCCGAGCGGTTGTCAGAGGGGGAAACGGCCACCGCGCGTCCCCTGGGCTGTGCCCACCTCCACCCATCACCACAGGGGGCTGCAAAGCCGAGGGAAGGCAGGTGCCAGCCCCGCCGTGAGCTGGAGGGAGGCACAGGTCCCCCGCACTCACCCCAAAACAGGGCCACCCTCCACGCCGCCCTACAGCCAGCTGGCCCACGAGGCTCGCCAGCACACAGGGAACCCCAGGAGCCCAACAACCCACCTCACCTGAACCCGCCGGTACTGCTCAGCAGCGTAGTCCTTGGTGCCCACGGGCGCAATGGCCACGAAGCCGGCTAGCCGGTCCCCCCGCGCCAGGAGGAAGGGCAGGGCAAAGCGGCCGCTCATGGAGGGGCTGACAAGAACGGGCCTCCGCATTCCCAGCTCCTGGAGGACATGGTCCAGGAAAGCCACCCGGCCCTGCACCGTGACCACCATCTCCGCCGGGGGTGAATCCCCGTAGCCTGGCACGGGGCAGAGGGCACAGGGTGGGCGCGGGGCAGGGGGGACCGTGCAGCCTGCAATGGTCTCTCCCCGCCAAGGCTCAGCTCGCTCGGCAAAAAATGGACACCCGATCAAGCCCCGGCGGTTGCACAGCCACAGCCACACGCCAGCTGGACCAAGCCTGCCCCAGCCATGGGTGGCCATGGAGGTCAACGCCCCAGGGCAAAACCAAATCCCAAGCACGCTGCCCCAGGGACCACTGCTAGCTGCCTAAAGAGGTCCAGAGCCCTCCCTAAAGAGGTCCAGAGCCCAGCAGTGGCCGAAGTGAGGGACTGAAGCTGCCCGGAGGGATGAACTTAAGCGCAGCGCCATGGTCCTACCAGGCAGATCTATTGCGACTGCACGGTAGCCTTCCGCGGCGAGCACTGCCAGCGTGCCCAAGGCCTCCCACGTCTTGGAGGTGAACGCCTGGCCGTGCAGGAACAGGACATCGGGCCTGCGGTGGGGAAGACGGGCGGGAAGGGGGCTCAGGGAAGATGCCGCACCCGTGGGCGTCCCATGAGGGGTGGTGGAGGCCAAGCCCCAGGGCCTGTCACCCCCCACCGTCCTCCGCCACAGCAGCCGGCGGGCTGACCCAACTCCCGGCGCACGCGGACTGA